GTATGATTACCAATGAGACAACTATCTACCAGAGACCAAATAAAGTAGATGTTAGCAACTATATGTCTGTATATTATGTACTTATATAAATTTATTCTGTAATTTGTTGGTCTCTAGGGCCTATAGTGTTTGAGGTGTTCCAAGAACTACATAAAAATGTATATAAAACTAAGAAAATAAATACAAGCAATATTTAGTGTTAATTTACAACTACATGTACCTCAAATAAAGCAAGCCTACATTGTTTGTATCTAAGCCAAGACTTAACAGGTCGGTACATGTAGCTCTGCTTCATGATTCGACCAAAAGGAAATTTACATTGTACAGTATATATACCCATCTTAAAATTGTTTGTAACTAGATAGAACCTCCCCCCCCAAAAAAAAAATAATAAAAAGATGAATGGTTGGTAAATGCATATTCAATACTTGTCAAAGTCAAAAATTAAGCTTTCTCTTGATCTTACCTGTTCATAAATTCTGAATTTTAATGCCCTATTTTTCTAATTCAATATCAGATATTTAGAAAGTTGAACATAACTAGTTTTAAGTCCTAAGTCAGGAATCTGATGCTCGGTTAGTTGTCGTTTATTGATGTTGTTCATAAGTGTTTTTCGTTTCTCGTTTTTTATATAAATTAGACCGTTGTTTTTCCTGTTTGAATGGTTTTACACTAGTCATTTTTGGAGCCCTTTATAGCTTGCTGTTCGGTGTGAGCCAAGGCTCCGTGTTGAAGACTGTACTTTTGTAAATGCTCTTTTGTTCCGACGTTGGAAAGTTCCGGCGGAAAGAACTAACTAGCCGAAAAGTTCCGGAGGAACTTATTAACTAGTTACTTTGTTCTTAAAAAACTTTGGTTCAAAAGTTCCACCGGAACAAAGTGACTAGTTGAAATGTTCCAACGGAAAATATCAACTAGTCAGAAAGTTCCTTTTTGCCAAATTAGTCCAACCCGGAACTAACAAACTAGCCAAAAGTTCCAACGGAACTTATCAACCAGGGAGAAAGTTACATTTGGAAAATTGATGCAAAGTAAAAGCGCAACATATTATATTTGAACCTTTCAAAGGGAAACCAAGATACTGATTACAAAAGTCAAAAAGAACTTATCAACTAGCCACAAAGTTCCTCTTTGGCAAATAAGTCAAAACCGGAACTAACAAACTAGCCCAAATGTTCCAACGGAACTTATCGACCAGTCACAAAGTTCCATTTGGAGAATTGATGCAAAGAATCACATGAGGAGGGGGTATTCTTCCCTCTCTTGACATGCTTGAGGATACTATGAATACTAAATTTGCATGATAATGCAACTTATTCCGTTTTATGTGAGCTATGAAATACAACTTAAATTTTGCATATTTGTCCCCAAAGAAACCCCTTTCAGTGCGTTGGGTATTTTTGTAAATAAATGATTTGCTCTTATATATACTGGTACTCATTCTCCCCCCTCTTTCTACAAAAAGGACGAAATATGGTATATTCGGAACGATGTAACTTAGTTGTTCTGTTCCGCCAGAACTATTCAACTAGCTACATTCTTCCGGGACTTTTCAACTAGCTACTTTTTTCCGGAACTTTTCGACTGCACTCGGAATAAAACAACTGGTTGGAAAGTTCCATCGGAACGAAATAACTAGTTGAAAAGTTCTGCCGGAACAAAGTAACTGACGGAACATGATGGCTGTTACACTTTGACCTCTAATGGTTTACTTTTACAAATTGTGACTTGGATGGATAGTTGTCTCATTGGCACTCATACCACATCTTCTTATATCTATATAATAGTTGTTTCTTAGAATTTTTACTGTAAATTCTTAAATTATAGTTTATTTATTATTGTGATTTATGAAAGAAAGGAGAAAAATATGAGGTTAATTTAATATTGCAAATTCTGTAAGAGGAAAATCTGCATACAGATACATGTATCTGATACCAGAATGTGAGTTTTTATTATTGTGATACTCATCCAGTCGTATTATTCACATTCATGAAAACCTCACAATTTTTCCTGAATTTACAGTACTAAACAATTTACTGCCTTGCCAATGTTTGCTATAACTGAGGTACATACATGTACATGTATATAGATATCATCTGCATGCATGCAGTGTTATTTTAATTTAAATACTGATGATAACCATATCTAAAAAGAACATGTCAAGGTGGGTAGTCATGATTAACAAACTACATAATATATCTATTAGTCCAATATTATTTTGTCATGAAAGGCTTCTTTAATTTTTTGCTGTGATGCCTTCTTAAGATGGACTGTCATAGGAAGGCTTCACAGTAAAATTTAACAAAGCCTTTCAAGAAATCATAATATCATATTATTTGGACTATGCGTTCAAATTGGTCAAATCAATCAACAAGTATATAAATTTGCTAAAGGTCATATTGATGACTTTGTGTACATGTGAAAAATACTATTTCTAAGATAATTTTCCAAGGTGCAGGCATTTTTCAGAGAAAGATGCAAGGTCCAGGATAAGTCCAAATAATTATGACATCTATGAAAGAATTTCATGCTGTTTTTTGCTTTCTACGCCTTCATGGCTTCAACGTCAAGTAGGAATCTATAAACATAGGGTGCTGAAAAAACAGACAACACTCAGCAAAAAATATTATAATCTTGACTTAAGACTGGAATTGGGTGATAACATCATGGTCTGTTGGCCTCAAATTAAGGGATCAGGGTTCCTTTGAGCAAGTTTTTTGTGTCCCAGGCTCAAAATTATGGGCTCATGATTCATTCGAACAAAGTTTTGTGCCCAAGGCTCCAGTGTTAGGTCTCCATGTTTTGGAGATAGGGATCCCGGCTCGAGCAACGTGGGCACCGGGCTCCGAAGGAACTATGGAGCCAGTGATAAATTAAAATTTACCCGACAGGATGCCTACAAAACGTAAATTAGGAACAAATTTCAGAGCAAGTGTTTAGAATAGGATCTTGGCAAGATACAGAGAACTTGTTTCATTCGATATTCTGTTCATTTACTGACTGGATTCTATAAATTATTTTAATTTCATATATTTTTTGCAGTCTACTTTCGTTTTGACCACGTGTATATCATACGTGCTAACACTGAACTCGTTTTTTTTTTTCTTTTACCGTGCCATTTTCGCCATCTGAAAGGAATGATTAACAAAAGAAACAATGTATGTTTCATAAATTTTACACATTTATTGTCTTACACTTACTTTTCTTGTTAGATTTTCACGTAGAAGTGAAAATATTTTCCGTTGCAAGGTGCTTTCCATTCTGCAAACCACAAGCATCTTTCCGACGGCGATCGTCTTCTGATTGGTTGATCCTCAAAAGGAGGCGGGGTCCCGCAAGCGGACAATATCGGCAACAAAAACAGCTATTGCAACCGTTTACAATATAATTCAGGCACAAACATACAATATTCGCGTTTCAGTAAATAAATTACACCATATCGATACCCGTTTTCAATTCAAATGCATGTATGTAATTTGTTATCATACATTTTTATCGATAGACGTAGCTTTCGGGCTCATCGCCATTAATGAATATATGAATATTTAATGAGGTCTTTGCGGAGTTACCTCCCCCCTGACCAAATCTAATCGAAATTGCCTTAACATCACTGCGTGATGTCTTAATGAAGAATGCTTCATACCTTCTTTTATCCAGATAGTTGAAATTGAAATTGAAAGCTTATGGAGATCACTTGAAGAAGACAAAATTAAATTACCAGCGGCAGATGTTATAGAATCCTTAAAAACAGTGAGTAAGGGTGCCATATTGATAACGGAACCTTTTAGTTTCCGAGAAACTAACCTCTCTCTGTCTCTCTCTCTCTCTCTCTCCTTCTCTCTCTCTCTCTCTCTCTCTCTCTCTCTCTCTCTCTCTCTCTCTCTCTCTCTCTCTCTCTCTCTCTCTCTCTCTCTCTCTCTCTCTCTCTCTCTCTCTCTCTCTCTCTCTATTTCCGAAGATATCTTATAGAAACGGAGATGATGAGTCTTATGTAGACGAAACGCGCATCAGGCGTATCAAATTATAAGCCTGGTACCTTTGATAACCAAAGGGAATGAAATCTTACGTTCATCTGTTTTTCTAAATAACTGTCTAGAAAAGCAGACACTCTGCTGAAACATCTTAAACTATTTTCCTCACTTCACATCTAATTAAGTCTTAAATGTCTGGATGTGCATCAGGTAGATAGCAATTTGAAATTTTACGAATTCCTTATTAAAATGTTTAAATTATTGCTCAGTTCATTAACGTACTATTTTGACCACAATGTTATACCAATTACTTTATATTTGAAATTTAGGAAAAATATTGTTTACCGAATTGGTTGAATTAGCGGCTATTATTTAGATTTTATCTCCATTAATTTTAGATAATGAAGTGAATATTATTAATGTGTGTTAACATTTGAGGCTAATATACTAGGAGCATCAGCTGTATATATAAATACCAGCACAACAATGTTAAATCTACAATTTTTTGTTCTTCCTTCGCCGGGATTCGAACTCATGCTATTGGGATATCGAGACAACACCGCCTGCACTGTGTGCAGCGCTTTAGATCACTCGGCCACATAGACTGAATTTAAAATTCAGCTTTCGGCGGCCTAGTGTTACCTTTCCTCGTCAGTAGAATGTAGAGTTCTAACACATTACAGGATAGATTAGGCATGAAGATGGAATTGATTGCAGATTAGCTAAATTATCTGTCATGAAGGATCGTAAGATGCAGTCACAGAAATAATCATTTGATTAATACGTCTAAACAAGTGACAACTCTACGACAGATCCATCCATTGGAACACCAGTGTAGGTGATACACGGCTGAAAACACATAAAATATTCATAATTACGAATATGAATATAATATGTGTTTTCAGCCGTGTATCACCTCCTTCACTTGTGATCCAATGGATGATATATGTGGTACTCAAACGGATGAGCTTGGTGCATTTCTATTTTTTTTTTTTTTTTTTTTATTCAGAATGATCAAGTTGAAGATTTTTGGAGAACAGTTGAGGAAAAGAAAACAACATTTCCAAGTACACATACCGATGCATTAGAAACATTGAAGTATGAAAACAAGGTATTTAGAATTAAGTAATATTCTTTTGTCTATGCACGATACACATGTCCTCTAGAATCGAGTTTTACTAGCTACTGTTAATTTTATACATATATGTTTGTTGTTTTTTCTCTCACTTCTATTGAATACCCTCACCCAGTTTTTGTAATATAGTGGAACTATAAACAACTGTCAGATTTTGCAAGCTTGAAAAACAAGTTTAACCCACTATTTTCTTCGACAAAGGCATGTGTCAAGTCAGAAATATGACGGTTCTTTTCCACTCGTTCCATTCGTTGATAACGTTTTATTTTGTCAGGTTTGATGGACGTCCCTTTTTGAATTTGCCATGAAGTTTGATATTTTTGTTGTTTTTTTCCTCCAAGGGGGGCATGAAAATAGACATGATCACTAAGGTTTTTTCCGACCGGCAGTAAAGACCTTGCCAAAGTAGGGCATCCGTTTTGCTGTGCGGGATGTACAAGTACACAGACACGCCAGCTCAGAATGGGGATATTAAATTCCAGCCTCATGAAGTGAAGAAAACCACGCTCTCTGCAGGTTAAGAACCATTTCAAAACTCTTTGAAGGGTCGGTAGGTGGCCTGAGGAATGCAAAATTGCTGTCCTTATCCAATATACCCTCTTTTACTAATGGCAGTCCAAATTATCCCGCCATTCATCAGGCTAGGACTTCTTTATATGTTTTCCGTTTAAACCTTCACATACGTATGATGTCTTTAAATGGATGAAGACGATGAAAGTATATTCTAAATGCTAAAAAAGAAGAAAGTATTTAGTGATTGTGTTTTTTTCAAACTTTGGATTAAAATCAAATGTGTATTCAGATATATCCAATTTCAGTGCGGACAACGTAAAGTATATAGTTATAGCAGCTAATAATGGCAAGTTTCATATATTTTTTTTCAAAATGTAGTCCTCTGCTTTTACTTTCTTATATCTTCTGTGGTTTTACTTCTAATTAGGTGAATGAAGAAAAAAAAACATGAGACTTAAAGACAGGTTCACGTTGAAGAAAAATGTTCAACCATATCGAGTGCACCGCAATCAATTTTTTTCAAATATAACACTGTAAAATATAATGAATGAGCACAAATAAAGAGGTAACAAGCGTGCAATCAATAAAATTATTTTGTTGTTCTTTGGAATTTTCCCATCTTATTTCATTTCAATGAATTATAAGGTTCATCATAACATTTTGGTAAATATGGCCATATTTACACAACAAATTCTACTCTGAGTACATACAAACCTGTGCACCTGGAGAAGTTTAAAGGCATGGCAGGAACTAGGTAATTAAATTTTAGATTCATTAAATGTTTCAGAAAATTATAAACATTTCTACATTTTGCTGTTCATCTTTCTGTCAGTCCTGTAGAAGGTGCAGTAATAAACTTAATTGGGAAAGATGTTTGAGAAGCTCCCCTCATATAATAAATGTTGTGAGTAGTATTGATTTAAATGGACAATAGATGGACAATAGACATCCGCAAACAATAGGCTATTTAAACTGTGTAATTGAGTGGACCGTATCAAATGAAACTCATATATTTGTTTATTTTGCTATTTTTTGCAGACTGGAAAAAAATGCACAGGTACGTTTTTAATTTTCTGAAACATAGACTGCATATGACTTTTATATATCTACATGTAGGTCCTGTCATGCCTTAAAACTTTCCTAGATTCACCAGTTTGTCTATACTCATAGTAGATTTTATGTTGAAAACACGGCCATATTTTTCTATTCCTTTTGATGAACCTTAAGAGAATTATGATCCAAATGTTATGTTTTTTTAAATGCATTAATATAGTTATAATATCTAAATTCATCGCCATGAAATGTCCGAAGATCAATAAATCGATCAAACCTATTCAACTACTAAACATGAAAATGAAATGTATATATATTTACAATTTTCCCATATGACACTATGTTGCAGGCCCCCTCTTTCCTTCCTCGTTCACCAAAATTTATCTCGATTCGCCGGTTGTCTTGCAAGAGACGGTAACTGTTTACCCAAACGGTACCACCTGAATATCCCCCTTTTTCTGTTTTTTTATGCAAGTTTCGTATCGCTCTTTTTTTGTTTATTGTCGTATTGATGTCCCTTGTGTTTTTTTGTTCATGTTCCTGAAATATAATTTTGTCTCTCGATTTCCCTTTGCAAAAAACGCTTTCTTTTTTTCTTTCAAAACAAAGCATTGTAGGTGTACATATCTTCTACATATGTTTCTGTGCTAAATTTATAATTATTGCGTTCAATCAATTTTATCTCTGAGATCTAAACTAAAGTGAAGTTTTGAAACTGATAGAAAAATACATTGGAAAGAAACAAATGTAATTCGTATTTTGATGGTGTATATAGTAAAAATACTTTTGATAAATCCCCCCTTTTTCAATCAATTCAATACAGGAAAGGGTTTTGTGTTCAAATTTATATAACACAATCACACATTGTTCAAAAACATATTTAACAAACATATGATTGAATCTGGCACCTATGTTTATTTAAATTCAAGAGAGCACATCGGTTAAAAAAGAAAAACCGATCAGTACGAACAAAGTGCAAATCAGACACATGACAGACTTGTTTGATAGTTTAACCTGCGGTAACGTGTTTCTTTATCCTGCTTCCCATATTCATTGTCGTTGAGAAGCGAAGATTTGCAATATATTCCTATACAGGCAATAATATCAAATTTCAAAAAAATACCCTTTTAAATCAACGCCGACACCTGAAATTTATAATAATAACTATTGTAGTCCCGTAGTTCATGAAACAAGTTCTCGATTTGCACTTTGCACACAGGGTGAAGTTTAGGTTGTTAATATAATTCGTGATCAGCTATTTTGACCAAGGAACACCGACACGTGGTAAAACATTTGCTTCTTATGAATGATTTTCTCTTGATTTTGATAATAAAATTATTTTACTTGAGGTCCTTGTATTGCAGCATGATTTATCAAGTGTTAGAAGCATTATTTAATTTTTCATTTTAATTGTAGCTGAAAATGATGTTAGGAAGAATGAGAACAACATCAGAGGTCGATTTTTATATCCATAGAAGGACGAGGATATATCTTTCTCAAAAAGAAATACATAAAAGCAACAAACACAAAACGTAAAACGAGTATATCAAACAAACTGATGCTAAGGAGACAACCCGATAATGAGAAAAATGGCTGTGAAATAAATATTGGCAGAGTTAAAATCAATTTGAAAGGTTTTTTTTTCTAAAGAAACCGTCCTGATGAGTGACAAAATAATTGTATTGAATGGTGACTTTAATCAAATATTTTTGTGTCATTGTCATTTGTTCTTTGGTTGTATTATTTTTTTCTTTTGAAAAAAGATTGTGTGATTTGATTGATTTTTTTCAGTTCTTGAACTATCATTTACCTGTAAGAATCAATTATGCTACCTTCAACTGTCCAATATTTTCAAGAAAGAGGAGAGTTGTTCTTAAAAATATTGGACATTTAAAGGTTTCTTGGAATTTGATGCGACTGTCATACAAGTGAGAGGTTTAGCTAGCTATAAAACCAGGTTTAATCCACCATTTTCTAAATAAGAAAATGCCTGTTCTAAGTCAGTAATATGACAGTTGGGTCAATATCTTTAATTGTTTTTACATAGGCGGTAATGGTAACGTTTTTTCCTGTAGCTCAGTCCATATCGTCAACTTGGATATGTATGATAGCTCGTTTCGAAGCTGTGACATTTTCACATATGTGGTTAAATTTTCGGGGTACGAAGTGAGATTACTTTTTCCATAAATTAGCATACCCCGAACATCCTTTCGTGATGCGGCTCCTCGTGGTAAAAAATTCCGTTTCGACACAATAAGTTCTTTGGAAATGTAATACTTTGAACACATTGAATAGCTCCATAGTTTTTACACATTTATTCTATGTTCCTCTACTTTCCTAATCACCACAAATGGTTAAGCTCAGTCATTTGTAAAAAATAGAAACATGTCCAATATCACTACACAGAGATTTTTTGTTTACACACAACTTTTGAGTTCCTCATTTCGAGGCGCATTAGGGATATTGACCCAGTTGTTATCTATTCGTTTGGTGTGTTTGAGCTTTTGATTTTGCCATTTGATTAGGGTCTTCCGTTTTGAATTTTCCTCGGAGTTCAGTATTTTTGTGATTTTACTTTTTCTTACAGGCAAATGATAGCCCAATCATTAAAACAAAGAACGGGTACAACAATAGAATGACGTCACAACAATGTTTTAAATATATGTATATTCGTACCTTTCAAAATATTGTTTTCAGATTTCAAGATTTCTGTAAACATGGTAAATCTAAAACAGCTCATACGGGATAAATAAAACAATCAAATTACGTTTTGTAAAATTTAAGTTAAGAAAGAGTTGCCTCCTTTTAAAGGTACCATTACCAAGTTTAGCAAATAATTGCATTATTTCCATTGTCTTTTAGGTGTACCCAATGAAGAGTGCTAACCGAGGAAAATTTATTCTCATATCAAACGTTCAAGTGAAACCACTATGTACAAAAACCCAGAACGAGGAAAAGAAGGCACAAAGATATGCAGATTATCTTCGGAATTCAGACTTTGATCTGGTCAATGTATTTCAACTTTTTAAATTGATGGGATATGATACAACAGACGGTAAACATTTTGGGAAAACAAAAGAGGTATTGTGTGATTGAAAGGGGCATTGGCTAACATTTAGACAAACAATTATATAATAAACTTGTTTTTCATTGAAATATTGAAATAATAATCTGAAAATAGAAGCTTGATTGTTTCAAATTTGTTGTAAAAATACTCTGAAAGAATAGATGATAACTGATTGTCTTGTAAGACAAAGATTCGGCTACATTTTGGTTTATATGCATGCAACTTCTAACCTGACCCTTATTTGGAGGGTACAAAAACACAACCTGTATACATTCTTGGCTCTCAGATATTCTGCTTTGAGTGTTCCTAATGATAAATCAAGAAAAGCGAGTCGGTTCCAATAAAGTTTTTTAAGTTAAGGCATATTTGTTCTTGAGATAGCTTCTCTTATGTGTGCTACATCATTCTTTCAATTGTAGGGAAGTGTGTGTATTAAAATTTACATAAGACGTACATCACATATTCTTAGTCCCATTGCTTTTGATGTTAAGTTATTTCCATCTCAGGCATTTATTTGGGGCGGGGTCAATGTGCCGTTATTTGCACATCAGACAGTACTTGTTACCAGAACTTTAGATATACCAAACGAGGTACTCCATCATGTTCATATCTTGGAAACAGCCAATGTATGCCCTACTTTTTAAGATTTCATCCATACAGTTTTGTATTATTCCAAATCATCAATCAAAAGGTGTTCTACAAGGATCACCATTCCTTCACCTTTCAATTTGATATCTAAATTACCAATATATATTCTTCACAGTTTTAGATTTACCCCTATGCGCAAGAACTTTTTTGTTTAAAATATTTACTACTTTCCGGTTTGTTCATTTTGCTAGGCACGAGTTGGTGGTGCTACATCTGACAAAGGTCCAAATCATTTGCCCTATGCATACGTGTTTTCCTGTAAAATATCTTATGTTTATCTTGATGTGCCCTGTGGTTGTCTAAATGTTTGTATTGTTTTTGCACGATTCAGTGTGATTGTCAGGCTTAATTATGAGAGTGAATGTTTGATTCCTTTGCCAGATTTCTTTGATTGATATTACCACACGGTTTTGTTCTTCAATTCACAGTTGTGATGTGATTGTCAGTTTGCAAAGAATTTGGCTCAAACCAGTGCGAGAGGCCGTTTTAAATTTCAGAGAAATATTTTGCTCCATGCTGAAGGCCTGCCTGTGCCTATGGGATAAAGAACAGCAATAAGAACGTTGTTCCCTTGCTATTGTTATTTTTTGCTGTGTCTGAATTGATTTTGTGTCATATGGATACCATATATTCTTTATTTTCTATAATTTTCATAATTTTCATATTTTTTTTTTAATATTGGTTGTGGTCTGCGTTATTTTTTATTGTAAAAAAACAATGTCAAAAGAGAAAAATGAGCCTCAAGGAAGAACTATTTCTTTGATTGATTATGCCCACAAGAAAAACAAATCTTTTAATAGTAAAACGACTATTTATATATTTTTTGATAACATTATATCAAAGACCTAGAAAATGTGTTTTTATTTTATTGCACATACTTCATGTACTTGTTTGTCTATTTAAATTTATATCAATTTTGGGTCGTATGGCCACCGACAGTCAAGGGAGATAATCTTGATTCCTAATTAGATAGTGTTAATCACCTGGATACTAACGATATGCTGATAGTGCTCAACGATTAATGCATTAATGATTGTCTTCTATGTAATTCTTGTACATGTTGTATGTTATAAAGTAAACAGTTCATTTGGTAGAAGTTATTTGACAGTTTTTGACTTTAAAAATGTTTTATCTAAAACAAAGGAAATCATGTTCAAGCCACCATATTCACCTCAATAGTCTTTATTACACTTTCCCATTCATGGTTATTGTTCAACACATAGGCAGAACATATTGGGATTTTACTCAATACAGTTATTTCAGCACTGATCCGTCAGGTTTCAAATTCATAAGCATTGATTAGGTTACAGAAGTAAATTGCCTTTGAAAACAAGTATTTGTACCGATAACAGGCCAACTGTCTGAACAGTGCCTAATATACAGCGAGGAACATATTAAAAACAATTACCGAAAGACTGACATAACTTAATTGCACGGTATCATTTATAAATTATAATAATATGTTTTGTTAATATAAAAATCTATTTCAGATTATTCCAAGTCGTCAATTCAAATCAACAAGATTGGTATGAAATAAAATGATTTGATTTTGCTTTGCAGGAAATCAAGGAGATATTGAAACAAAAATTAAATGATATAGACAAGGATTCGTCTTCTAAGTATGATAGCCTTATTGTAGTTTTCTTGTCAAGTAAAATTGACCCTCAGGCAACAATGATTTATGACATAGATGGAGAAGTTGTTCCAAATGATGAAATTTTAGAAATCATAAAAAGCTGTCAAGGTTTTGAAGGGAAATCGAAAATTATTATTGTCCATACTTACAATTCTAACGGTATGTTCGTTGTTATACTCCATTTATTCATACACATATCTAGTAATTAACAAAAAGTAAAATCACAAAAATACTGAACTCCTAGGAAAATTCAAAAAGGAAAGTCCCCAATCAAATGGCAAAATCAAGGTTCAAACACATCAAACGAATGGATAACAACTGTCATATTCCTGACTTGGTACAGGCATTTTCTTAAGTAGAAAATGGTGGATTGAACCTGGTTTTATAGCTAGCTAAACCTCTCACTTGTATGACAGTCGATGACAAATGTCGATGTGGATTCATCCAAAAAAAACCAATGATGTTTTTGGAATTTATTTACGTAGTCTTTAAATCGATATGTCGTGTAATGATACTCGTAATCAGAAAATCATTTTGAACCTAAAATATGTATCATAATTGGCGTCCAAATCAATTCTCATGTATGTGTAATAAGATAAAAACCATTCATATTAAATAAGGGGTATAAGCAGTTTAAAGATGTTCAAATTTCAGAAATCCATTCAAAACGTGCAAGACAAACTAAAAAAAAATACGACGGATTCGCAAGAACTACAAGAGTAGTGAGACCGCGTGGGTCATAATTGTAGGCGTCTCTTTCTTTGTATGTACACCCCATTGCGAATCCAGGTACTGTCAAAATGCCACAGTACATGTACGAAATAGAACACAATCGGTAGCCTCGTTAATTAAACAACTATTATGATACCTAAAGATATAATGCGCTAATATCGCTAGTAAGCTTAGACACATGCACAACGAATTGGTCAATCAATTTTTGTTGCTATGAAGGGAAAAACAGAAACACATCCAATAATCATTCACTTGATTAACAAATGTGGAAATAGAATAATCTCAAATTTGAAGATTCATTTTAGAGAGTTGTGTTTGTATCTTTAAACGGGCATACTAAAACTGTAGTCCGGTTAATGCATTGAAATATATTTGGTAATTTTTGCACATCTTTGGAGACTATCAAAACCGTTTCACATTGTGATAGAATCAATTTTAATTTTGATATAACAGAAACGTTTTTTTTTTCTTCATCTTTTGAAAAAAACACAGTGACGAAACCTTTTGTCAGAAGCCTATTGTTTAGTGGTTGTAAATTATTTGGTATAAATTAGGCTGTTAGTTTTCTCAATTGAATTTTTTCATATCTCTCATGTCAGGGCCTTTTATAGCCAACTATACAGTATGGATTTGTGTCATTATTGATGGCCGTACGGTTGGCCTATAATTGGTTACATCAAATTCATTTGTACTTTGGTCAATAGTTGTCTAGTTGGCAATCATACTACATCTCCTTATTTTTATACTGATACATGTGTTTTATTTAGTTTCGAATAAGTACTTCATTGACATATGTCTCATTTCTTCTAGGATTATTATTACAAAATACATAGAATACAATAGGATGTAATGTCATTTAATGTAGATAAGTTTATAGAACGCCATTATTGCAAAGTCCTTTAATGGGACAGATTTATATATAGCTTATCACATTTGATTTAAGAGGAAAAAGAATATTTTGATAAAATCAACTCTACACCAAAGGGCATCATAATGGAGAAGAAATCAAACACACACGATATATTTGTGGTATCAAGTTATTAAAGAAAATGTAATATTGAATTTGGGAATATATATCAAGGACATTAAATAGTTTCCCATGTATCCGTTTCGAATTTAATCACAATGAAGCAGTCGAGGTAAACATGTATTTATATTTTGACCTGACTATGTTTCAATTCAACTTCATCTCTGAATGAATGTAATCCCGTTATACATATGATATGACACGTCGTCTTCAATGACTTGAAAATATAATGAATGCATTTAATTGTTACTTACATCAGTTTTAGGAACTCTTTGTACGACTCCCTAACAATTAATGTGATTAATTATTAAACTCGATACTGATCGAATCTAGTGGTTTTTTTTTTTTTTTTGTTTGAGATTATGATTAACACGGATATATTGAAAATGTTAAGCTAAAAAAAAAGTCGTGCTGTTTTTATTTCAGAATGTTTCTTAAACACGTATAGCAGAGGGTAAAGTAATGTTGTTTTTTTATAAATTACTATGTTGGTGTAAAAAGTAAATCTATTTTATTTCTTCTGACTCACTGGTAGGTAAAAAATAGAGTCTATTTTGAAATTTTGAAATGTCTACCCAAAAAAATTAAAGACATCACTTATATGAATTTAAATAGATGATGCATTTCAATTTTGACATTGCTCACTGATACATCAACATCAAAGTTCCACTTTTAAAAGTATTTTTCACTTATATACATATGTTCATAAAAGTTTTTTTCTTCTTCACCATTTTGATCTTATTATTTGCAAATACTTATTTTACTGAAGCAGTGATCGAGGAGTAGGACAGGAATTAGCTGTTTTAGTTTTATATTATGTCAAACGTACCTTTATCACAAACTTTATTTCTTATTTTTATAGAAATTGGACATTTAAACTTGAGTTTCAATTCCTCATATACCTCTCTATTTTGAACAATTTGAAGGAGGTTAATAACACATCACAGATACCAGGCTTAAAATTATGTACACCAGTGTTTCATATACAAAACTAATAAGTGACGCTCGATTTCATCTTGAAGAAATTGATATTTGAACAGGTACTTTTTTGGCGATTTAACAAAAAAACGAACGATCACGTGCAGGTTCTGCAATATTTAATAATCAGTAAATATATCTTTACAACTACTTTTCATAAAAAGGTCCATGGATGATTGGAGATAATATGGTAGGATCATACTTTATTCAGGCACTCATACATGCCTTCAAGAACTTTGCCTATCAAAAATCTTTTATGGAGCTATTAAAAGAGGTGGATATTGAAATATGCTAGTACTGCATAAAATATCATATTTTTCTCTGAAGTTTGTCTTTAAGTAATGCAATAATTTATTTGTTTGTTTGTTATTTCTATGATATTTATTTTGATGATGGTTGTAAAATTTGGTTTAAAAGTAGAACAAACTATTATAATTACTTTCTAATTCTTTTAAGTGGTGCTAAACCATATTATAAGTTTCTGGAATGAGTAAATGAATTTATTAATTATATATTAAGCTTTCTGTTCTTGAAAATAAAACCTCAACCTGTTCCGCTTTGCTTCGTAACTGGCTACATAACCGCATACTGCAAGCAGCCAAAATGGTGATGGAAACTAGCAGGACATGTTCGTACATCCGATCATTACTCATCATGTTACATATGTATCTACTTGATCACAAACATAACCATCTTTGCGATACTATTAACATGTAATACATGATTTGTTTGATATGCCTAGAAGTGAACTCATTAGACACCGATATAGTTCTCATAAAAAAATGAACAAACAAAAATATTTCCATGAATAAATACTTTTTTAATGGAGGAATTAAATTTATAGTTTTGAAAAATTGACACCTTAGTAGATGTTAATTTAGAAATATATCATTTTTTTCCATAACTACTTTTTCTCATTGACACAATTATATACTAGGATGAGATAAATCCATTTAGCTTTCTGTTCTTATGTTCTCATGCGTTTCATATGTTGACTTTACAACTTCTTGTCTTTAGTTTACATAGTAAAGGGTTTTCAAGAAATAAGTTCTTTGCTTACTGTTAATATGCAATAATTTTTGTTTTTCTTAGTATGTGTGAAAATATTTTTGTCATGAATTACTATTTGCATGAATAGATATAAGAAGATGTGGTATGAGTGCCAATGAGACAATCTCCATCCAAGTCACAATTTGTAAAAGTACACCATTATAGGTCTAAGTACGGTCTTCAACACGGAGCCTTGGCTCACACCGAACAGCAAGCTATAAAAGGCCCCAAAATGACTAGTGTAAAACCATTCAAACGGATAAACCAACTGTATAATCTATAAAAAAAGAGGAACGTCAAACACTTATAAACCACATCAACAAACGACAACCACTGAACATCATGTGCCTGACTTAGGACAAGTGCAAACAAATGAAGCGGGTTTAAACGTTTTTAATAGATACACAACCTTCACCCTTACCTGATACAATAGTGTAACATCACAACATAGAAAGACATACTATAAAATACCAATTATCTCTTTTCTTCTTTTTATTCTGGTACAACTCTGCAGACATTTTAATTGCAGCGAATTGAAATAAAAAGTTTTTATTTTACTTTCATTCGTCTCATTTAGATGTATAGATATATAGATTTGTTAATAGCTTTATCTTTGTTTCATAAAAAAATATATTTTATTTGGTGTTACCTACTCTTTATTACACCTATACAGTAATTATGGAGAGTTTATTCACAATCTGATTAAAATACAGATCCTTACATTGATCTGACAACGCTAAGTTTGGACGCATGAAATTATTAAACGTGTTGTTTTCAATTTTTTACTTTCTACATATTAAGAGATCTTTTGGAATCCTCTAACTTTGTCGTAATTAAACATTCCTTCAAAACATGGGAAAGCTGAAATTTTAGAAGTTGATGCAAAAGTTACCAGAATAGAAAGTAATATTCTTGTAAGCGAAAATTGCGATGTATAGGTAACATGTAAGATTAGATTTATTTTATTTCAGTGGCACTATCCATTACCGTATCTATCTATATAAAAATTGCGGTTTTTATCCAACGCAATCATAGGTTTGAACGTTGTTTTCAATTTATACTTTCTTATATTTTTTCGTTTGGGTTTGTATTATATTTGCCTTCGGGTTTATATGATCCGTTCATCCTATTTCGACTCTTTCAAAATTCAAGAGTCTATCCTAAATTGAGGTAAATTATATGGCCTTCCAAATACCGTTTCAATTCCTAACATCACTGAAGAGACATTAATTGTCGAAATCCGGATATGGTGTACAAATTTTTGCACCTCATGTTTGCGGTATACCATCTTTTCCGCAAGTTTATTGTTTTCTGTTTAGTAATAAATTAATTATAAGATCCATTTTGTTACATCTTGTGATCCGTTTATTTGGCAATCGCCAATGGCAGTCAGCAGGGTTTAAGAACATCAGTTGTTCGACCTGCTAGTCAAATGCGTTTTGTTGAAATATACTTTTTCACTGTTTTGGTCTTTTGGAAAATGTTGTTTGTGCTGTATTTAGACCCCTCTACCAAGAAATTTGTTTGCATGCACACGTATAACAATTGCGGTTTTTATCCAAAGCAATCATAGGTTTGAACGTTGTTTTCAATTAAGGCGTTCTTATATTTTTTCGTTTGGGCTTGTATTATATTTACCTTCGGCTTTGTATGATCCGTTCATCCTATTTCGACTCTTTCAAAATTCAAGAGTCT